CTCTTGTATCGTCTGACTGTCGTGAAATTTGATCATCTCCTTATGACCCTAGTGACGTTTGCCCCTTGTTAAATTTGACCATGTCCTTATGACTCTTTTGTCCCTACTGATCTTTTGATCCGGATGACTCGTCTGATCCTTGTAACCTACCTGGCCTTTCTGATTGGCTCTCAAACTTGACTCTTGTACATAGCCCTTCTAACCCTTGAGATTTGGCAGTCATCAGATATTCTGGGTCATACATAAAATGGAGTTCAATACATTTTATACATTTTTAACATGTTATACAAGTATTTCACTTGCATTTAGAATCTCTAAAATGTCAAAAACTATATATTACATTTTATACATTTGCGACGTATAATACGGGTATTATACGTGTATAGTAAAAACCTTCAAAACTGCGCGAAACGCGCAACCCTGGGGATATGGAAAAGGGGGTGAAGATAGAGAAAGAGGGGTAAAAATTATTCAACCCAGGCCTTAATAATGAGGATTTATTTCAATGTCTCATTTATGATGAAAGTCGCTGAATTATTTTCATAATGGAGTGAGAAAATCGGATCCGTTAACATTTTTTCGTGGTTGGTTTTTTGTGGGAATGGATATTTAAGATCCCTTTATAGCGATTTCCTTGGCGTGATTTTTTTCCAACTTATCTGGATGGGTTTCTTCGAAACAAATTTTTTTGTTTCGGATTTTGAAGTGTTTCTTGGGGAGTCAAAAAACCTTTAACTCCTCAACCCCCCCCCCCCCCTTCCCGGATAGGGTTCAATTGCTTTACCGAAATTTCAATTACCAAGAAACAGCGAAATTGAAAACAAAATAAGTCGTTTCGAAGAAACACACCCGGATAAGTTAGAAAAAAAAACATGTCAAGAAAAGCGCGATTAGAAGAACAGAGTACGGGCTATAAGTTGTTTCCGAAAATTGTGCCTATTCTATCAAATTTTTATCAAATTTCTGTGAAAATTTTCAAATCTGAAGGCAGAATGAAATTAATGTTTCAACATTTCCCCACCAAATCCGAGAATACTTACTTATTCGAACAGTGCATAATATAATTCTCAGGGAATTTGTCGAAGTGGACGATTATATTCCAAGGCAACTGCACATCGTTTGAGTAAGTATCAAGCAAAACTCCAATTGGAAAATGCCATTTCAATGGTATTCCATTGAATTCGAGCCACATCTCGTTTTCCTGTTTGTCCTGTTGTATGTACCGCATAAAATGTTTTCTAACCTAAACAAATATAAAATCTCATTTCTCCAAACGGAAGCAATATTTTTTCATCAAACAACAGAATCAAATTTTGTATTAAATTGATTTTACCTTATCAGTGCAAAGTGGAAAATAACTTAATCTGGGAACCATCAAATAAAACGGATCTGGCGCTCGTAATTCACAGACTTCTTCAGGGTCTAGTTGAAAACAAACTGGGATTTTACCGTCCCAGATTTCCCTCAGAACCTCTCGATCATTTGCCATATTTTTTTTTATTCATATAGATGATAATTTCGTCTTTAATTCGTCTTTTCTCTGGAACATTCACCGTTTCACAACTATTCTCTATTTCACGGTATTATATGTCTATGCAGAGATTATCTGAAGAATAGAGACCAGGAGGCCGAACTAGCGTTGTCAGATTCGAGCCCATACTCGGGGTCGCGGGGTAGTTATAGGTGGTGTTTCGATCGGTTTTCTTGATGGCAGAAGTGGGGGAATGGTACTTGTGTGAAACTATAGCCCAAGTAGCAAACCTTGCGAAAGATATCTGAAAGTATACCAAAAAGACAGAGTAATGTCCGTCCAAAAGGTATCTTGCAGTCATACGATAACTTTTAGTTAACTTCTAGGTAACTTCAAGACACAAGTTACCTTTTTGGACAGCATTAGACAGCTTTTTTGGTATACTTGCAGATACCCTCCAGAATAAGTTCTGGGAGTAACTAGACGCTTTGTTGCTAGAGGTTGGGTTGGGTCGTTCATTTCGATCCCATCCTCCCATGCAACCCAACCTTACCAGAAAACTAGTTACTCCCAGAACTTATTTTGACGATTGTACATACGTAAATACGCGCACTAAACATACGATTGAATTAAAATGGCAAATAATTATTTATTTATCGATCTTGGTGATTGGATCCTGAAAATCTTTTAAAAGTTTTTTTCTAGTTTTTACATCGCAATGTATGGAATAAATAGAGATTTTTAAAATGGAGGAAATGAATATACCCTCGGAACGACATTAACACAATAGACCTTTTCATTCTGAGAGTCACTAGATTTGCGGACACTTTTTTCCCATGTTAATTCCCCTAGGATTTGCGGACACTTTATCGAATTTACATATAAATCATGGTTTTTGAGCGCTCAAGTGTATATCATTGTAAAGTTCAATATTTATCAGAATTTGCCATGGTTTTTTCGGAGATTTTTTCGTTGAATGAACGAAATAAATATTTCCCCTAGATTTCCAGAATGAAAAGGTCTATTGTGGGCGCGTTTCGCAATCGACGTAGTAGCAGTAGCAGTACTGCAACCCTATCTAATTTTGCTTTACTGCAGCTACGTAGTTGATTCCGAAACGCACCCTGTATGGAGTACGTACAGTCGTCAAATTAAGTTCTGGGAGTAACTAGACGTTTTCTGGTGAGGTTGGGTTGCATGGGAGAATGCCCAAGTAGCAAACCTTGCGAGATATCTGAAAGTATACCAAAAAGGCAGACTAATGTCCGTCCAAAAGGTATCTTGCAGTCATACGATAACTTTTAGTTAACTTCTAGGTAACTTCTAGACACAAGTTACCTTTTTGGACAGACATTAGACAGCCTTTTTGGTATACTTGCAGATACCCTCCAGAACTGTATTGCTTGGGTGGGATCGAAATGAACGACCCAACCCAACCTCTAGCAACAAACCTCTAGTTACTCCCAGAACTTATTTTGATGAGTCTTCAAATTAAGTTCTAGGAGTAACTAGACGTTGGTTGGCAATAGTGGATTGCACGGAGTATAGGACCGAAACGAACGAGCGGTTCGTACCTCGATGGTTTTAGTTCGTGCTCCAGTGATTGGGTAGAGTGGGGGAATTTGGACGGATTTTCAATGCCGGCAACGGCAACTCAAACCTCCAGAATAACAAAAACAAAGTAAATATCCGGAGCACAGTGGATTTAGGAAAAAAATTGCATAATTAAAAAAAATATATGTATTTAATTATCACAGACGGTGCTGATGAGTTGGCAAGGATCGGAGTATTTTGTATTTTCTTCGTCTCGGTAAATATTCAATCATTTTGAGAATGAGTTATTCTGGGGAGGGAAATTGTCAAACAACAGATTGCCATAGATTTTCTCAACTACACAGAAGTGTCTTAACATAAACTCCGAAAATTACGCATTCCATAATCTATTGACAATATCATTGTTGAATGAAAACTTTTCTCAATTTTGTTATTGATGCAATATGAAAATAAAAGGATAATAATATTTGAAACTTTTGATTCAGACAGACTATCAGAAACAACTTCTGTTTGCTATTCATGAAATTTTCTGAACGATTTTTTTTTTGTTAAAGGGTTTGTTTATTTCATTTGAATGTAAAGTAACTGATAAAGTTTTTTTTTAGCAGAATTCTTAAAATATCCATTCTTGTCAATTTACATTGCACATATGGGGGCGAAACATCGAGAAGAAACTGACAATTTCGATCAGATGCTCTATAGTGAATTGAATCAACAAACAAACTAAATAATCAGAAGCCATTGGATGCGAGAAAGAATTGAATAATTCACCTGAATATATTTATGATATTCATATTCGTGGTGCTTATAGCTAAGAGAAATCAAGGTATTCGTCTTGGCAAGTCTTCAATTATTTTAGTAACGAATGATTTTAAAGGGGAAAGTGAAAAGAGAAAGATTTCTTATGAATATTTTATCAACTACATAACAGGTCTTTTCACGTCAATTCCTAAAATCATTTCAGTAGAAACAAAATCTGCTGGCAAAATTTGTTTAGAAAACTTTCCTCAATTTTTTTTTATTGATTGAATATGAGAATAAAAGAATAATAATATTTGAAACTTTT